GCGCTGACGATCGATCTCATCCTCGTACTTTGCGACAGTCGCTTCAAAACATCCTAATATTTCTTCAGCAGCAGTGTGTAACCTCTCGTTGATAAACTGTCTTAAACTCTGGATTGTAGACATTTCCATTCAAACACTTTAGCCAACTGACTTCTCCGAGAACGCAGCGAAGATCGACTACGGAAGATGGCGACTTACTTTACTTCTGCTGACAATTGTTATAAACGGAACAAAACCACGTGTTCTAGAAAAGTTGGTCAAAAAGCATTTAGCCGAGTAGCAGCTCGTTCATTTGGATGTTAGCATGGCAGGCTGACAGCAGTTCTACTTCTAATTATGAAAGTTGACAAACAGCTTCTGGGTGCATTGCCGCCACCTCCTGGATTGGAGTGAGTCTCAAAACAGATTCAGGACTAAAATATTAAATTGTCCTTGTATCTCCGGCATCTATAAGAAATATAAAAACTCTTTTGTACAAAAAAAAGTGGAAAAAAATCCTGTATCCGCATCAAAATGTAATGTAGTTCTTTCCTGATCCATACCATATCTTTTCACCCAGTTTCATTCTGATGTTGACATTTTTTTGGTAACTAACAGACAAACACAGATTAAATGTGTGACAGACATAAAAAACAATCATCTTAAATCAAGAAACTTTAATAAATTGTAAATGCACTAAAGTATTGAATGCACATAGTGCAAAAKAATGAATATTTACAGTGACAGTCATTTAGGACTGTGTAGTCATTCACAAGAGATTTTTTTTTTTAATAGAAAGAGAAAAGAAAAAGGGAAGTCATCTGATWATCTGAACCACATTTTATGTTCTCATGAATCTCAGTGRCACAAAGATGTCTGATTTTTACATAATGATCAACAGTCTTTCCTGAAACTTTGACAACCATCTCACAACATTCAGTGGATTTGAGAAAACCTTTTCTCACATTCTTGTATGTTTAGCCATGAGCCACTGCAACAAATCACTCATATTTTCTTTAAATACAAGGTTACTTATCTCTGCGTGACCTCACACTCCTTTCAAATTGGGAATCATCAAAGTACATTCTCCAACTGGTGTTAAAGGGATAAGCCGCTTTTCCGGGTGGAAGTGTCGAATATGGACTGCCAATTTTTGCCAAAGTCTGAAAGCTTTTCCACATGTTCCGCAGATATGTGGCTTTTCATCAGTATGGATATTTGTATGGCGTTTTAAGGTCGACAGGCGACCAAATCTTTTCCCACAGGTGTTGCAATGGTATGGTTTCTCCACTGGATGTGTACTCTTGTGGTCCTGCAAGTCACTGCGAGACAGGAAACTTTCCCCACATGTTCCGCAGATATATCTCCTTTCATCAGTGTGGATATTTATATGCTGTTTTAAGTTTGACACATGAGCAAATCTTTTCCCACAGGTGTTGCAAAGGTATGGCTTCTCACCTGAATGTGTTCTCATGTGTACTTTGCAGTCACTGGGATATCTGAAGTCTTTCCCACATACCTTACAAGAATATGGTTTCTCACCTGTGTGGATATGCAAATGCTTATTTAGTACCGATACGTCACCGAATGTTTTCCCACAAGTTGTACAAGGATACGGCTTCTCACCTGTGTGCTGTCTTATGTGGACCTGCAAGCCACCCATTGACATGAAACTTTTCCCACATGTAGTGCAAGAAAAAGGTTTCTCACCTGTGTGTGTTCTCATGTGGACTAGCAAGCTATTGCTGAATGCGAAACCTTTCCCGCATGTTTTGCAAGAAAACGGCTTCTCACCTGTGTGCATTCTCATATGCACCCGTAAGCTATTGTTACATGTGTAACCCTTCCCACATGCTTTGCAAAAATATGGTTTCTCACCTGTGTGGACTCTCAGATGTATATTTAATCGTGACTTCCACTTATAGACTTTTCCACAAGTGTCACACTGGAAAATGTTTTTACCATTGCAGGTATCTGGAATAGTCTTTGACATAGTAGAGTTACATGCAAGGTTACTGTGACCTTTGGCTTTTTTTTTGATGATGTGATGTCTCTTCTCTGATGATGGCTTTGCATTTCTAACTGATTTTGAGTGTCCATGCTTGTCTCCTTTAAGATCTTGACTCTGAGTTGAGTTGTGGTAGAGGAGCTGGTAGTCACTTGGATCTGGTTCACTGTGGCCACTCTCCTCGAAAGTAGGATTTAAGTCGTCATCGTCCTCCTGCTTCAGTACAAGTTGCTCTACTTCCAGACTGGTGCAGAGCTCCTCCTGTTCCTCTTTAATCTGTGGAGGTTCTGGCTCCTCCTGTTCTGGACCGGGGTTCCTCTCAAGGTTCCAGAGCTGCTGGTCAGAAGGAAACTCTTCCTCATTAAGAACATGTTGCTGTGGGAGTGCTAGGGGAGACCATGGACAGAAGTAAGTAATTTATAGATTACAGATAGTTATGAGTGTGTGCAATTTGGTGCAGATCAAAGCAAAAATTCAGATCGAGTGAATTTTTAAATGTGGTTTCAAAGGGGCACTAATGGGCCTTGGCTGAGGTATGGACTCTACTGAATGCCCTCCAACTTCTCAGAGAGACCAAAAACAAGTTGAAAAATGCCCTATCTCGCAAATAATCTCAGATCTGCCCTTTGATCTGAGATCCGCACCAAAACACAATGGGGCCTTCCCTGACCAAAACCACAAAACATTCCACTAAGTTTCATGATGATCTATCCAGTATTTTTTTTTTTCATAATCCTGCCAACAGACAGAAAGACAAACAAACAACGAAAATATAACGTCTCTTGCCTGTTACCTGGTTTAAGCTCAGGTTCTGCATCAGTTGAGCTCTAGTATACTTTCAGGTTATTATTCACTGTATCAATGGATACAAATCACTGTACCATATGTAGGGCCAAGTACATTTACCTTTGAGATCTTGGTCACTTTCCTTGAAAGTAGTATTCAACAAGAAGTCATCATCGTCCTCCTGCTTCAGTACAAGCTGCTCAATTTCCAGACTGGCGCAGAGCTCCTCCTGTTCCTCTTTAATCTGTGGAGGTTCTGGCTCATCTTGGTCCAGACTGGGGTTCCTCTCAAGGTTCCAGAGCTGCTGGTCAGCAGAAAACTCTTCTTCGTTACAGACATGTTGCTTTGGGAGCTCTAGAGGAGACAATGGACAGAATTAGGTAACTAAAGTTGTGGTTGAAAAGATAATATGTTTAAACTAACAGGGGTTAGGAATATAAGTGTGGACAAATGTTTTCTATTTAAGGTTCTTGTGTAGTTTTATTTCAGTTTTTCCAATTTAGATCCAGCAGTCTGTTCCGATAATCAATGTCATCCTCGCACTTTCGAATAGTTCTGCTAATTAAAAATGGCAGATGATAGCACTAGAATGACACTCAGTAGAGTACAAACCATCCCCTTATGAAAGCACATTTAAATTCATAAGATCCAGATTTATTTTTTTTAAAAGGGATTGTTGGGTCTTGCTGGAGGTGTGCACTCTGCTGATTTACATTCTTTTTCTCTGAGCAATGAACGAAATGTGGGTTCCTCCCATGACCTTGATCTACTCCAAAATACGATGGGGTCTTCACTGACCCAGATCACATCCTCTCACCAACTACACAAACAAACAAATGCAGATGCATAACCTCCCTTGTCTGTTTCATTTTAGCTCCAGTTCTGGTTTTCTCATGTATAATTGGGTTTGTTGAGGGTTAAGGGCAAAACATGTCGCACCTTGTTAAACCCTGTGAGACAAATTGTAATTTGTAAATAAGGGCTTGAATTGAATGATTGATTGGTTCTGCATCAGATAACCTTGAGCAGAACCAGACTCTGTGTGGGCGGCCATCTGCAGACAGGATTCACATCACTGTGCCACATGCAGGTCAACTACATTCACCTTTGAGATCTTGTCTCTGAGCTGAGTTGTGGGAGAGGAGCTGGTGGTCACTTGGATCTGGTTCACTGTGGTCACTTTCCTCAAAAGTGGGATTGAGCAAGAAGTCATCATCGTCCTCCTGCTTCAGGAGGAGCTGCTCTACTTCCAGACCGATGCAGTGCTCCTCTTGTTCCTCCTTAATTTGTGGAGGTTCTGGCTCCTCTTGGTCTGGACTGGGGTTCTTCTCCAGCAGGTCAGCAGGAAACTCCTCCTTGATACAGACATGTTGCTGTGGAGGCTCTGGAGGAGACAATGCACAGATGTGGGTAAAAAGACCAAATGATGAACATAAGTTAGGTCAATGAGGCTGACTCATGTTTTACACACCTTTTCTGTGCGGCTGTATTTCAGTTTTCCAGATGAAAGCCATCAGTCTGTGCTGACGACAGATCTCATCCTCGCACTCTGCCATGTTGACATTTCCTATTTCAACACTTAAGCTAGCTAACGCAGCGAATACGAAAGATGGCGACCAGCCCTCAGTTAACGTAGCTGATGTTTATAAATCCTGCACACTGTCTAAAACCTATAGTCACAAAGGTAAACACGACCATGAGGGTATGAATCAACACCTTCTTCTCAATACTGTTGACAAACCATCACCCCCTTCCTCCTCCGCTTCTTCTTCTTTCTCGGTGTTATAGGGCAGCTTGCATCAAAGGTGTTGCATTACTGCCATCTACAGGCGATTTTCTCTCTGGTAATCTGTTCAATTAAGTCGTTAAAATATGAAAAGTCAATTTCCTCCATTAGTTTGTGCTGTCTCCATTACACTCCAGACACTGTCCACTATTGTCCACTCATAGTCTACTGTTCATTATTTTGCCTCACAGTCTATGATCCGGGTCAAGTGTCTACACCACATTTTAATAATACTACTAATAATAACACATTTTATTTGCATGGTGCTTTTCAAGGAACTCAACGACACTTTATATAGAGTTTGGAAGAAAGACATAAAATAATTCAACAATTTATTTTTTACTTTTATTAGATAAACTGCAAAACTGTGACTTCAGTCTTAAACACACAGAGAGAAGGAGGCCATAGTGAAATTAGTTTCCAGTCCACATTCCTCCACCAAGTCCAGGACTCAGATCTATAACTTACTTTACTGCAGCTCTTTGAAATGTGACAACGTGACGGTTTGGTCAAGTAAACACCAGGGGGCGCAAGACACTGATCTAACAAAGGCACCTGCTGTGTGTTGAATGAACAGTTGACATGAAGGGAATCTGTTGAAGGGACATGATAACAGCTTTCACCGAATTATCCCTTTTCAGGAAACATGTGCGTGTATGGCAAAAGATAAAATGTCAGATATTTGGTAAAAACCCCTTTTTTGCAGCTGAGCGTTTTTCCTCTCTTGTATTTTCAGTATTTTCCCTCTACAATAGATTTGTTTATATATATATCAAAATGCTGGTCGTGTTGAGATAAGATATGATAAAATGTGACAACAACAATTTTAAAATATCTTTTGTCGCAGAAGTACCAATACGTCAGATTCAGTGCTCTCTTAAACAAGGAGGATCAGCCTCTATTTGCAATCCTATAAAACACAAAGTATATACCATGAGATATAAATACCATGATTGTGGTATTTCTCTGAAAGATGGAACATTCGATGAAGGACTCAGCTTTCCTCTGTTGTATACTTGTGCCAAACTCTAACACTATAATTCCAAATAAAGGAGAATTGCAGTACAAACAGTAGAATTTAAACCATCTCAACAGTTGTGCGCTTTGCTTTTGTGTTACTGTTTTACACATTTGTTAAAAAGCAATAAATACTAATGTTGAAATTTGCATTTGTATTTTTGTAACCACAGGGCAGGCCCACTGGAAGGCCTTAAAATCCAACTTCTGTATCCTGACATGCTGAACTACTGCTGATCTCCAAAACACCATCTACACACATGATTTATGATATATGTATATTACAAAAACATATCATATGTATTGTAAAATGATAAGGATAAGGATAACTGGTTTGGGTATGGGTATAATGAATTGCTTTTCCTGCAATGCGGTGTATGAGCCGCCACCTTGCATAAAAACAGCTATTACTGTTTGAAACAGACAGCAGTCGCATTGCCAAGTGCAACATCAGCACAAAGATGAACAAATGGTGAGGAGCAGTAGATGCAACATCTTCTGTTACAGCCCCTGAGCTTCATTTTATCTGCACCATACAGTGTTGATACTCTGCAGGCCTCCTCCTCCTCCTCCTCCTCCTCTGGTGTAATCAGGCCCCAGTGTGCTCTGGGTGGATGGGCGTGGAGCTCAATGCAGCCGCAAAGCAATATGGGGAGACAACGTGTAGCTCCTCTATTCTTAGCTCTGTGACAACATGGCCCTTTCTGTACAAGCGGAAGAAAAGCAGGGGGGGGGTCAACTGCACATTTAACCACTGCACTGTGTTATTCTATTAAATGTCAGGAACTGAATGGAGGGTTTGTTCGGTGCTTCAGTAAAATGGTTTGTTGAGGATTTTTAATTAAATGTGACAAAGTCTTCAACAGCCTTCCTTCACAGTGGAGGGTGGGAGGGGAGAAAAAGCACGTGTACTGGGCGTTTCCTGGGTTAATCCACGGTCCAATCACGGAGCCGGATCGTTCGAATAAATCTGCATATTTTAACCACGGGCTAATCCCCCGGGCGCTGATTGGTCGAGCGGAACCGGGGCGGCCAATCGGCTAAATGACAGGCCGCTCAGCTGGGCCGCGAAGCCCCGCCCACTCGATATATATCCTGGCAAACCCCGGAAACGCTGTCGCTTAAAGGGCCAGAGGAGGAATTCCAGAAACAACGGAAACAGCTGCGAGCACGAAGAGAGAAGCGGCGAGAGGAAGGGACGTGGACGGCACGGCCCGCGAGAGATGTGGGGAGACGAGTCTGAAGCTGTCCCGTTGTTCTTCACCCGCCAAACCCACGACTACAAGCGGCTAACGGCTTTTTGTTCAGCTCCGGAACCGAGCGTTGGCTACCGGGGACGTGACAGCGCAGCGGAGAGGTGAAACAAGAAAAGGCCAAACACCCGGACGCGTCATCCAACACCGTGTCCTCCCCCCCACCACCACCACCCACCAACCCTGACTCCCCCCGTTTCCCTGTGAGGTGAGTCGGCCTCTTAAAAAACAATCTTTGGCAAGATAGCTCCTCTGTGGTCTGCTGGCGTGGTGGGAACTTTATTTATGGACGGATCTCTCCTCGCGGGTTCAGGTAAATGTTTCACCTCGCGGGTCATCACAGTCATTGTCCGTCTTTGTCAACGTGAGCAAAGAATGAGTGGAATCCAGCCCGAGCCAGCTGATGTCCTGCCAGCAGCATCTTGCAGGGTGTAGGGGGGCGTTCCCCTGCTTTGTCTGCTCCCTTTCCTTTATGTGTGTGTGTTCGTGCATGCACCCTGTGATGGTGAGGGAATAAATGATGGAGGAATCCGTGCATCGGTCACTGGTTTGTGTCTCGCCTGCACATCAAAGTGCATGTGTAAATATTAGATTTTTTTTTAATTATAATTGCGCCGCACACACTCCTGCCCCCTTGGGATTGTGCAGATCTGGGCTGTGCAAGGACGAGGATGGAGGATGGATCAATCAGTGTATATCTGTGAGATTATGACTGTAGCTCAGCGGGTAGAGTGATGGTGATCACTGTAAAGCTTACATGGAGAAGGGATAGCACTGGGTGCACTGTGTGGTATTGTTCCCTTGCATTGCATTATGCAATGATGATGTGGGCACTGAACCCCTCGCTACAGTATAAATCAAACCTATAGTGTGTTAAGAGTGAGTAATTGCAGGTTTATTACGCTCAGCTGCAGTGCACTTCCTCCCATTGTCGTGTAAGACAGGACATAGTTGCATTGACATACACATTAGGAGCACGTGTATATGCAGTCACCCTCACTCTACATCACCCATACAGCACACGTGCGTATGGCAATCCACCAGCTGTCACATGCATGTAATTGAAGATTTCTGCATAAACATGCACACGCACCCACATTGCTGCAGCAAATACATCTGCAAGTCTACAGTTTCTTTTTCTCTTGTCCTTGCCTTGGTCTGACAGTCACACCCCCCTCCCCACCTCCCTGTCTGTGAGAAACCAGTGGGCTTTGTCCTCAGCTGAGTGTGGCGTCATGCAGATCCTAGCTCTAACCAACCTTAAAGGCGAGGTGCATGTTATTCAGCGGGACCTGGGTCTGGGCTTGTCCTATGTGCAGTCACACAGTTTTTAAAAAAACAAGACGGTCTGTCTGTTCAGGTGAGACAAAGAAACTGAGAAAACACTCTCACATCAAAAGAAAAGGACAAGGGACATTGAGGGTCACAAACTCAAATTGTATAATTATATTCAACCGCAGAGAAATATATTGTAAGTGGCTTTTTACTTTATAAACTACATAAGGTTCAACAAGAGTTTGGTCAAGAGTAACAGTATTCTCAGGGTAGAGCCACCAGTGCCTTGTTAGGCTGGTTAGATTTGTACATTATGGCCAATATAACGCTAACTTGAGACCTGTAATACTATGAGATCCCTGCATCTCCTGATTCTGTCTGAATAGATTAGGCCCAGAATAACAGTGTAACAGCGTCAGTCAAATGCTGGCCTGCAGTTGGCTCCTCTTGCCTGCAGTTCAGCTGCAGTGTACAATTTTATGCACGTGTAGATCAGCTGACAATGTGTGACATTAAGGGATCCAAGCTAAAGGACGTCATTAATGCTGTCGTTCACTGTGCACCCAACCAATAATGTTTGACCAATCGGATTTTACCTTACTCATAACTCTTATGGTTTTCTGTTTGAGTGCTTATGGTGCATGGTTGCAATTCTCCTTTTTTAGCGTCCGTACCTAGCAGCACTTTGTGTGTGAGGTAAGTGTTGGATGGCTATTAAAACGCTTTGAGCTGATGAAGGCTTGTTGTCAGCCCTCCAATGTGTCTCTGCAGGATTTGATGTCAGAGATTACAGATGATTATGTGGGTTAGATCCAGTACTCAACAATGCTCTAGGGCAATATTGATCTTGTGTGTGTGTTTGTGTCTGTGTGTGTGTGCACATCTTGTTTGCATCCACATGCAAGCTAAATGACCTCTTTAAATAAAAAGATATTTCACCATAAAAGGTTACACATAAGGTTAAGAGAAGGAGAGCTTTCCACTTGTGTGTGTACAAACAAAGCCATCACTAAGAACCAGTGACTCATAGACTGACAGGAACAATCTAGTCTATTTCTTGTCTGAAAATACAGAAATGCTACCTTCCTCAGGAGCTTCTCTTAAATGACAGTGTAAGCCTTATTGATCTGTCAGTGCTGTGTAAAAATAAAGATCTTTCCATTCACATGATGCAACGCTAATGAAAGATCTTTTTATGTCTCTTCCCTGATTCACTTTTGATTTGAGGCCCAGTGGATGAAAAATGTGTTTTTTATTGGCGGGGTGAGAGTGATGCTGTTTGCCAGAAGATACCTCAGCTCGACGGAACGTTGGCAGGTCGAGATGAAACATAAAATTAACAAGAGGTCAGGTCAGAGGGCGACATTAACTGCAAGCGTCTCCACGTCATTTCCACCTTAATGATAACCAAATGTCCTCACACTCAACGGACTTAAGTGGAACGCCTCCACTGTGAAGTTGTCTCTCT